GCTGAAACAAATCCAGCATTAAGACGCTTTTAACTAAAATATGAGAGACAACAGGAGATGGACTTTTTATTGGATTATTGTGATGTTTTTATCAGCTGTTTGGACTCTCATTCTGACGGCACCCATTCACTGCAGAGCATCCATTGCTGAGGCAGTAAAATTTCTGTTCCCATGAACAAACAAACTCATCTACACTGCTGTTCAAACATATATTACAGTTTAAAGTATATAAAAACAGAAAACCAGTATTTTAAATTGCAATAATATTTCACAATATTACTGTTTTTTTCTTCTTCCGTATTTCTGATCAAATAAATGCAGCCTTGATGAGCAGAAGAGACTTCTTTAAAAACATTACAAGTCTTACTGATCCCAAACTTTTGTATATCTTGAATGGCCTGAGGGAGAGCACATTTTCAGCACATTTTAAAACAGAATATATATTTTTAACAGAAGATAGCATTAGAAATCAGAAGGAAGAGTTTGGTTGTAAAAGGTTTCACAGTGTCTGTACTGTTTGTCAGCACCAGCTTGTATTTTTGGCATTGCCACCAGTGCTGAGTGACTATTAGTTACCACATGTCGGGTTAAACTAACCCAGCTGCTTGGGTTACTCACTAAATCATTCCTATACTTCCATTTAAAATATTTTGTAGTTTTCATGAATTTACTTTTTTATTTTTATTTTTCTCTTTACTGTTCCAAATCAAATGCATGTTTATATTTTTATTTTTAAAGCGTATAAATAATTAATAAAATATAAGAACAAATCATATAGAGAGACATTATATTTATTAATGTTTATGACCGGTATATAGCATTTACATACTATATATATTTTTAGAAACCTTATATACACACACCCGTTAAAGGGGTCATATGATGCTGCTAAAAAGAACATTATTTTGTGTATTTGGTGTAATGAAATGTGTTTATGCGGTTTAAGGTTCAAAAAACACATTATTTTCCACATACTGTACATTATTGTTTCTCCTCTATGGCGTGAACGTTTGGGCGGCGTTATGCAAATCTTCTCACATCGTGACGTAGACATGTGGGGTGTGTTAGAACGAGCCGTTTTAGGTAGGCGTGGTTAACTTTTATAAAGAATATCTCTTTGGTTTTGAAACTTTAGTGTTTGCAACTTTACAGATCTTCTTTATGCACCAAGAGCTTGTAACACTCCAAAGAGAAAGGAAAAATTGAAATCGCATCATATGACCCCTTTAAGTTATTCCTAAAACGTGGCACTCCTCCCTCAATCACGCTTTCTGTAGCCCAAGGGCTGATTTTTAGAGGAATTGCGTTCCTAACTCTGATTGGTCGAACGCCGTCGCGTTCGCTCTTCCTATTGGCTGCGTCTCTGTCCGTCACCCTCTGCCACGCGGTCATTGGCTGACCGAGCGGAAACGAGGCGGTTTCTTCAAGTAGACGGTGGAATTCCTTCCCTGCGTCCGCGAACTTCTAGAGAGTTCTGCGTTGGAGCGACGGCGAACCGAACCCGAGCGAGATGACCGCGGTGCGCCTGATCCTGACCCTGATTCTGGGCTCCGTTCAGCTCTGCCGAACAGACCCGCGGCCCGGGAAACCCAGTAAGAACCGTTAAATCATTTCCGTCACGTACTGCGTTTAAATGTCCAGTCGGATCCGAATCTCAATCTCGGCGTCAACAAAACAAAACCAGATCGGAACCTTATGGTCTCCATTGTTTCGATCCAATACCACACTTCTATAGTAAAGTTGTGGTGAATCGATATTAGCCCATGTGTCATCAAAGAAATTAATCAAAAATGACACGAAGGTTCTGACACTGTGTAAATAATCTACTTTACTATGATTCATTACTAGTACGTGTGGTGTTCTGACCCAGAAACTGTGTTTACTGTGGTAAATTTGTAAAGAGGAACTCAAAACGTTACAGAAAACCGAAATAAACCTGTATGAACTGGTTTAAAATACTGAATAAAAAGAGTGAACAAGGTCTTTTAGAAGCTTCTGCTGAAGAACCTGGGTTTGGGTTTCTGGTGACTTCACATTATTATTATTATTATTATCAACCGTAAACATACTACGGTTCCATGTACTATATTATGCAGATTATTGATTTGGTTTTGAGTTGGTTATCTTTGACTTACTGTGTTTAAGGAATTAGATACAATGTTCTATACAAATAAATGACGTGAGTAGATTTCATTAATAAACAATATAATTATTGAACATTGGTGTCTTTTATCAGATATCGACTAATATTTTGCCATTTTGAGATGCTTAGCATTGAGTGAATGCTGCTTGGTTAACTGATTAACCCCTTGTGTCAGTTCCAAAATCAAACAATCATCTCAATATAATAAATACATTTATTTTCGGGTCTTCTCTGCAGATTTGTAGGTACATGTTTGTAAAATAAGTGTTCATTCCCTCTTCCAATCATTATTGGATTAAACCCTCCCGTTGTATTGAAAAACTGGGTTCAGATTCTGTGTTTGGGGTCAGATTGACCCACATTGGTTTTGATGTAATTTGCCAAAAATATAGGCTATGAAAAACACTAAAGATCTGTGTAAAAACAGAAAACCTCTGTTGTCAGAGACTAAGAATATAAAAAATGTGAGAAATGTAATGATTCCCATCTATTTTATTGTGTTCGAGGTCAGTCTGACCCATATATTTTTGTTCAAAATTGCCACACATACAAAATAATAAAAAAATGACTATTTGTAGTGGCAATTTTCACACTTAGGAGCAAATAACTACAAGTAAAATGGGTATTTCACGCTATTTGTAGTTAGTGTAAGTAGTGTTCATTGCTATCTGTGCCTTTTTGTTCTCTTTTTCTCAAACTCTTGCAACAGACTAATTACTGAGATCCAGAACACTAACAACCAGAAATAATGTTTGACGGATCTTTTGACTGTGAAGCTCAAATAGAGGAAGAAACAGTGAATTTTTCTTGGAAGATTCAGAAAACGAGTCTAATTTTTTGAGTAATATTTGAGTCTTGAAGTTCTCATGTAATTCATATTTTAGTCTTTGGCAAGCTACAATAAAGTTTAACTCTTTAATGTTTTCCAAGGGTTGAGTTTTGGCAAATTGCATGGAAACTAACGGGGGTCAGTTTGACCCCAACCCAGAAGTCCTACCAATTTTTGTACAGCCTTTTCAAAACAAGTCTATGTGTCGAAACTTTGCATGCACATTCATGACCATAAATGAAAAATATCCACCAAATTTCAAAAGGAAATAATCAGTTTAACTAGTATTTTGAGCAGTTTGAAAATATGTATGTGGGTCAATTTGCCCCAACATAAGTTGTAACAATATTTGCACAGCCTTTCCAGAACACATCTACATGTTGAAACTTTGCATGCACATTCATGACCATAAATGAGAAATCTTCACCAAATTTCAAGAAGAAATAAATAGTTTAACCAGTATTTCAAGCAGTTTGAAAATTGATTAATGCTCAAATTGACCTCAATATAAAAGCAAAATTCGAAACAGCCTTTCCAGAACACATCTATATGTCGAAACTTTGCATGCACATTCATGACCATAAATGAAAAATATCCACCAAATTTCAAAAGGAAATAATCAGTTTAACTAGTATTTCGAGCAGTTTGAAAATATGTATGTGGGTCAATTTGCCCCAACATAAGTTGTAACAATATTTACACAGCCTTTCCAGAACACATCCATGTGCCGAAACTTTGCATGCACATTCATGACCATAAATGAGAAATCTTCACCAAATTCCAAGTAGAAATAAATAGTTTTACCGGTATTTCAAGAAGTTTAATAAACGAGTGTCGGTCACATTGAGTCCCCAACACAACAGAAGGGTTAAAATATATCATCCACCCTTTACTGTAGATCTCAAACCATTATAAATATCCAACTCAGAATGAGTAGCAGGGAAGTCAGTGATGTTTTATAACACCGTCTGTTCTGTCTGTGTTCAGATGAGCTGTTGGTGATCACCGCCGCGACAGAAGTGAACGATGGCTACCTGAGGTTCATGCTCACCATCCGACAGTTCAACTACACCGTTCAGGTGTCACGTCTGCTGTTTGCCTTCAAATCTGACGTTTCTGTAGTTAATATGACATCCATTTCCAGTATCCGTGTGCAAATGTGTGTTTTATGTAGGTTCTGGGGCTGGGTGAGGAGTGGAAGGGTGGTGATGTGGCGCGGACCGTCGGCGGAGGTCAGAAGGTTCGATGGTTGAAGAAAGAACTAGAGAAACATAAAGACAAACAAAACACGGTTATCATGTTTGTAGACAGGTGAGAACACAATGACATGACCTGATTTCTCTATTCTCTCTTTTTTTTGCTCCGTAACAATATATTCTTTATTTATATGTAACCCTAGTGAGTATGAGGTTTCATTTGTGCCAAAAACAATAGATTCTTTATTTATATGTAACCCTAGTGAATATGAGGTTTCATTTGTGCCAAAAACAATAGAAGTCACGTCTGCTGTTTGCCTTCAAATCTGACGTTTCTGTAGTTAATATGACATCCATTTCCAGTATCCGTGTGCAAATGTGTGTTTTATGTAGGTTCTGGGGCTGGGTGAGGAGTGGAAGGGTGGTGATGTGGCGCGGACCGTCGGCGGAGGTCAGAAGGTTCGATGGTTGAAGAAAGAACTAGAGAAACATAAAGACAAACAAAACACGGTTATCATGTTTGTAGACAGGTGAGAACACAATGACATGACCTGATTTCTCTATTCTCTCTTTTTTTTGCTCCGTAACAATATATTCTTTATTTATATGTAACCCTAGTGAGTATGAGGTTTCATTTGTGCCAAAAACAATAGATTCTTTATTTATATGTAACCCTAGTGAATATGAGGTTTCATTTGTGCCAAAAACAATAGAATCTTTATTTATATGTAACCCTAGTGAGTATGAGGTTCCATTTGTGCCAAAAACAGTCGACTGCTTTGTACTATATGTATGTCAGCAGTCATTGTGTAACTGTTAAGATAAATTAGTATGCATCGATGTGTGTGTTCTTCATTTTTGTCATCTTGTTCTGTCATTTATGAAAGGCTGTCATTGTTTTCAAAAATGTGTTGTACAGATGATACATCTAAACAGTAAACATGTAAATTTGCGCACGGACATCTTCACATCATGTGGGTAGTTAATATTGTTAACTAAAACTAAAACCAAACTGAAACTAAATTAAATAAAACCTAAAACAGAAATAGCACAAAATTACATAACATTCAACGAAATAACTTAGTTTAAACTTATTTTATTTAAACTAGTTTCAAAGGCAACATTTTTTATTTTTGATTAGTCTAAGCACTAAAATAACTAAAATTAAATAAACTAAATCTAAAACCCCACAAAAACCAAAATCACACAACCAAATTACTAAAACTTTAACTGAAATTAAAATGAAAACAGAAGATATAAAAAATAAAATCGTATTCAAAAAAGTAGCAAAAAATAATACTATAGTAAATAATATAATAGTATAGCAATAACACTAAAATAACGCTTTATCAAACAGAGAGTTCTAATACCAAAATAAAAGTCTCATCTGCCAGCAAATAAACTATAGAAAATGATGCTTTTCTGTAATCCGTTAAATAACAACACAACAGCTCTGTTCGTTTATTATGATTTTCATTAGAAAACAGGAAATCAGTTTTGATCAAAAAGAAAATTAATAGTTTTAGAGTATAAAGCAGCATATTGCAAAACGTTGCTATCAGGGTTTGAAATAATGACGTTTTCTTCACTGAATAAAAGAGGATGCTGATGCATTAATCATGTTTTTTTTGTTTTTTCTGAAGAGAAACTTCATTATTTTGTGTTGGTTTTAAACACAATGTTGGTAAAGAGACTGAAGACAACATTAATACAGAACATACACATCAACATGAATAATTTCTCTTAATAATTACACAGTAACTGTAGACATGGACTAATGTTTAGTACAAAGCAGTCGACTGTTTTTGGCACAAATTAATGTAACTGAACTCCCTATACAGTGTTTCTGTGATGTTGACATGAATGTTGTGTGTGTGTATAGTTATGATGTGATTTTAGCCAGCGGTCCAGAGGAGCTGCTCAAGAAGTTTTCTCGTTTCTCTCATCGCGTGGTTTTCTCCGCCGAGGGCTTCTGCTGGCCGGACCAGAGATTGGCGTCCAAATACCCAGTAGTGCATCACGGCAAACGCTACCTCAACTCTGGAGGTGAGTGAGTGAGAGTGAGAGTGAGAGTGAGAGTGAGCGTGAGCGTGAGTGAGTGAGAGTGTGTGAGGTGAGTGTGTGTGTGCGCTGCGTGTGTGTGAGAGTGAGTGAGTGAGAGTGTGTGAGGTGAGTGTGTGTGTGCGCTGCGTGTGTGTGAGAGTGAGTGAGTGAGAGTGTGTGAGGTGAGTGTGTGTGTGCGCTGCGTGTGTGTGAGAGTGAGTGAGTGAGAGTGTGTGAGGTGAGTGTGTGTGTGCGCTGCGTGTGTGTGAGAGTGAGTGAGTTTGTGAGTGTGCAGTGTGAGTTTGTGAGTGTGTGTGTGCGGAGTGTGAGTTTGTGAGTGTGCAGTGTGAGTTTGTGAGTGTGTGTGTGTGCAGTGTGAGTTTGTGAGTGTGTGAGTGTGTGTGTGTGTGTGTGTGTGAGTGAGTGAGAGTTTGTGTGTGAGTGTGAGTGTGTGTGTGAGTGTGTGTGAGTGCAGTGAAACCCACAACCATGAGAGCTGACGCCCATGCCTTTGTGTGTGTGTGTGTGTGTGTGTGTGTAGGTTTAATCGGCTACGCTCCTGAGATTCATGCCATAGTGAAGAAGTGGAAATATAAAGACGACGATGACGATCAGCTGTTCTACACGCGCATCTACCTGGATAAAGAGCAGAGGGTGTGTGCGTTTGCACAGTTATTAACAGAGATCGTCTTTACTGTGACCTTATGTAGCAACAAACATTTTTGTTAATTGAAATAAAGATGAAATATATGAGGGTCAAAGACGAAAAAGGGTTTAAGCATAAAAACAATAAGTGTAATACTGCTTTAAATTGTTGTTGTTTTTCCCCAAAAAATTTAAAAGTTTTCTATTTAATTTAATTGCATTTTTGTTTTTGTTTTTCTGAGCAAAAAATAAATATCATACATTTTTCCCTGATTTACAGAAGAGACCCACTAAAATGTCATTGTGTAACAATCTTGTCAGGCATATTTACAACAAAAATCAATTTATGACATATTAAAAGACTAATTACTTTCACCCCAAATACTAATTAGTTGTAATTTTAAATTTTTTAAAT